TTCTCGGCCTTTCGGCTCTTTCTCGGCCTTTCGGCTCTTTCTCGGCTTTCTCGGCCTTTCGGCTTTCTCGGTTTCGCGGGCCCTCGCTTTCCTGATTCTCGTTGATCGACACACTGTGGCGACATAACCTGCCGACTTGTAGTGTACATGACTTTTGCTACAAGGGTGTTCGAAGAGTTATTTTCACTTTTATTTTCCGGCTATCCACTGTACATTCGTTCTAGTCTTCGAGATAGTGGCGCAGCTATCCAAATAGTGCAAATCAAGCGCAAAGCTTCGGCCAGGGTCGGAAATTTGTTGAAGAGGAGCAAGAATTGTGACACTTTTCGTCTTCCCGTCGCAACCGCGTCAGAGCTGCAAGACAATTCTTCATTGCACAAATCTCAAGCACTTTGCTTTTCGCACATTTGCAAAATCGTCAGATACAGATCATCCAACAAATTTCTGGCCGTAAAAGCTTTCCATTCGATATGTACAGGATTTGCTACGTTCCGATCAACTACGAGCGAAGACGTTATCGTACAAACATTACACCAATTACGTTCTGACCATTTTCGTTCTTTGTCGTAAACAAATTACGTGCGCTGTCACGATCTTGGAATAAAATCCTTTGGAATAAAATCCTTTTTCCTTTGGTCTGCAGCGTTGCAACCAAGCAAGCTCAGACACAATAGTACTCTGTTACATTTGGTAAAGTATAGCATCAGCTTCATCCGGTTAATCTAAGACTATTGGAAATAATACACGCCTCTTGAGATGTTCATCAAGATTTTCATTTTACAGATATTTGCTGGTCGATTTCATTTCTAGCAAGCTGGCTACGTCGTGCGTGCATTTTTTCAGGCTAAAACATTCTAGTTGGGAAGACAAACTGGGTACCCAGCTTCCAGTAAAATCCTCTTGTCCTGCTACTCGAGATTCAATAGCAAACCGTTCTACTGGTCCGGCAGGCCCGATGGATTGTTCATGCTGACTAGAAACTTCATCCGATTACTGAAACGCTGCTGCGAAGGCTGCTTTTTTGATTTCACAGTGGAAAATTGATCCTCCCCGTCCATATCCTGCAGTCGCTTTGTGCTGCTGGGTTTTTTGTGTACACAAGTCATACTACTTGTCATGTCAGAAGGCAAGCGATGCGGATTCTAGTGCAGTCAGCAATGGCAAAGCGCTGCATTTGTTCCTCATCGGACGAACTTGCCGCATTTGCTCAGAGTAGCATGCAGAAAGCACGACCAAATGCCTGCAAACCAGGCCTTGGGTGTGTCTGGTTGCCTTCCAGCAGCACGAGTTTAGCTTTAGTTTTCATCTTCTACTTACTCCTTTTACAAATTCTTTTTCGAGTATGTGGACGGAGGGGATACTATTTTTCCTCACGATATTCAAAAAGTGCGCGTGTCCCATGCTTTCCTGCTCGTTTCTGCGGGACTTCGGCGCGCCCGTGCTGGCAGCCCCCGCAGCTGTAGTACTACTACCGGGTGGATTATTCGTCACTAGTTGGCTATTTCCCTTGTCCGTGAGGATCGGCAGCGTCACAGATTGGCTGTGCTTCATGCTCGCCTCCTTCTGGAACAGTTCTACCGAACTGTTGTGTGTCGATTCATAGCTCGTGATTTGAAACGACGGCACGGGGCCCGAAAGTTGCTCCGCCTCAGCATCCTCGTCCACCAGAAAGCCTCGCGCACCACCGCGATTCGCACTCCCACTGCGCATGGCAGCAGGGGGCTGATCCAGCCGCTTCGGGGTGGGCAGCTGTGCGACAACGAGCCGCTTGCTCTGCGTCGACGGGGAACGGTATGCACTTGCAGCAAATGTCAATCTTTAATATCGATCTGGAAATATCACAGCGCACTTTATTGTTTAGCATCGACAAAATAATCGATGAAATATTATATTCGACAAGGCAGCTGTTGTCCATCTAATATTATTTATAGTGCTGTAAAGTGAGAATAGGCAACACAAGGACCCACAAGAAGTCATCATGGAAGCAATTGTGAGGAAGATGAGATTTTCTGGGTAATCCTATGTAAAACTGTGTACTCTGGCGCTGCATCGCAAGAACAATCTGTGTACTTGTTCCAGATCATGCCTCAGATGACATTTGTTTGCACTAGATAAAGATGCCTGCTTCCCGACCGACAAATCCGGAACTGGTCGGTGCTGCGGTGGATAATGCTGGCCGCCGGGCTGGTGTTTTATGATTGCAAATTCCGTGAAGCGAGTCTTTTCCTGCTCATTGGATTTGTTATTTTTGAATACCAAATAAACTCTGCAAAAGGCTTGTTATTTCGCGCCTTTTATTGCGATGAAACAAAAGCGCACACCAAACTGCTGCTTGGTTAGGCAGTTGATGCTGTCCCAGGCAGTTGATGCCGTCTCTAGAAGTGAAAGAACAAGTCAGTGGCGCCAGGGCCAGCACATGATTTTCACGCAAAAAATAAACTTAATATACTTACCAACATCTCAGGCGAGGCACTGCGCGGCGGAGGGCCGCGACGCAGGGCTTGCGAGGAGGTCTGCCGCTCGTGGTGCTTCTGCTGTGACGACGCTGTCAGGTCCACCTGCTGGCCCACTCGAAGATTCTCGTAATCCAGGGCAGACGCCAGCGTAGTGTGCATCAAGCCCCCGCTGCCTATTGTGGTTGCAGGCGTCAGCCTATCAAATGTAAAAATGTCTGGGTCTGGAAGATTGCGAGATTTGTCATGCTTGTCTGGCATGACTCTCAGATCTGTCATGCACGTTACCCAAGAGCCCGATTTTTCTGTGATGCAGAAACGCAGTTTGTCATGCAGAATAGGCAACAGCTAGAAGCTCAGAAACTTGTCATGCTGAGCCAGCACTTGTGGCCTCATCATGAGACGCCACCCAGCATCACAAGTTTCCAGACCCAGACATTTTTACATTTGATACAGCCCGCGCGCTCGTGCGCCGCCAGTCGTGTTTTTCAACGCGGAACCTGACGAACACCAGTGCTTGAATGAATGAATGATTTACCCAACTGACGGGGTTATTAGAGATGTTAGTAACTATGAGAGATGCTGAGTAGAAAAATCATGCCGCCGAAACTATCTGTAGGGCTACACATCAACCTCATGCTTCTACAAAGATTCGCCACTATAACTCCTATTGCTGAGCAGGGGCAGTTAAAATTACAAGGGGCAGTTAAAACTAGTAAACCGCCATCTATCAAGTTAAGCTTTGGCCAGGGCGTAAAAAGCCGAGAATTGGAAACCGAGAGCCGAGAATTGGAAACCGGAAACCGGAA